AGAGTTTTATACTAGTTGGGATGGAATGTGTTTGCTTGTCCAGCACTGCCAACCCTTACTTTGACAACGTAGCTTAAAAACATGACCCAGTTGTGTTTGAGAAGCTTTGCATTTGTCATATCCTGAATGATAATGGAGAATAATAACATAGCTTTGAAGGTATTAATTTTAGAAGTATAACTTATTTTTTGCCAATTTATCAGATTTATGTAATAAAAGTCGTACTTTCCAATTGTAAAGCTTAATAAATAAAATGCACTCTGCTGAAATTCTGATGTGAGAAAGCATTGGAATAGACAAAAGTACTCCAAACAAAAGGATGCTAATAAAGGAGACTTTTTGTTCTATGCATGGAAAAGAGCTAATAGAATTGTCTTGGTAACCAACCTGCATGAAGATCAAATAACACTACGTTGATTCTTTTTGGCAGTAACCTAAAGCCAGATGTGAATAGGGGCACATCCCTAAAATGACTGGGAATTGAATATTATGAGTGAGCACTGATTTGACTGCCCAGGAACTGTCTTCCATGGGGAATTATTCGTTACCATAAGATGTAGGAGCAGGAGTAGACCATATGCCTATTGTTTTATCATTCGCTCTGATCATGTTTGTTCTTGAGCTTCAACTCCACTTTCCTGCCTCCTTTCCATATCCCTTGGTTCTTCGAGTAATCCAAAATCAGCCTTAAGTATATTTAACAATGGAGCTCCCACGATTTCTTATGGTAAAGAATTCTGAAGTTTTACAACCTCTTGAGTGAAGAAATTTCTCTCTCTTTCAGGTCTAGGGGATTGGCCCCTTATTCAGAGACTGCACCTTCATGTTCTATGTTCCCCTGCCAGCAGAAACAACCTCTCACTGACTTCCCTGAAAAGCCCCTTCAGAACCATGTTCATTTCAATGAGATCACCTCTCATTTATCTAACCTCTAGAGATTAAATGTTGAATATTACAGATATCTCTCACTACAAAATCCTGCCATTAATTGGGTTTAAACCAGGTGGGAATATAGAAGGCATGGTTAGCAAGTTTGTGGATGACACCAAAATTGGTGACATAGCGGACAGTGAGGAAGGTTTTCTAAGATTACAAAGGGCTCCTGCTCAAATGGGTCAATAGGCTGAAAAATGGCAGTTGGAGTTCAATCTGGGTAAATGCAAGTTATTGCATTTCGGTCCAACAAACACGGCTAGGCTTATATAATTAATGGTAAGGTCATGTGTAGTGTTGTAGAACAGAGGGACCTAGGGGTGCAGGTACTGAATTCTTTGAAGTTTGCAACACATGTAGAGGGGGTGATTAAAAAGGTGTTTGGCATGCTTGCATTCATTGCTCAATCCTTTGAGTATAGGAGTTGGGAAGTCATGTTGAGCTTGTACAGGACATTGGTGAGGCCTCTTCTGGAATACAGTGTCCAGTTCTGGTCGCCCAGTATAGGAAGGATATTATTAAGCTTGGCAGAGTTCAGAAGAGATTTACCAGGATGTTGCCGGGTATAGAAGGTTTGCGTTATAAAGAAAGGCTGAATAGGCTGGGGCTTTTTTCACTGGGGCGTAAGAAGTTGAAAGGTGATGTTATAGAAGTTTATAAAATAATGAGGGGTATAGAGTTAATTGTAGTCATCTTTTCCCTAAGATGGGGGATTTCAAGACTACGGGGTATGGCGTTAAGGGGAGAAGAGAGAGATTTAAAAAAGACATGAGGGACAAATTGTTTACACAGAGGGTGGTTCACGTGTGGAATGAACTTCCTGAGTGATTGGTGGATGTGGGTACAATTACAATGTTCAAAAGACATTTGGATAAATATATGAATAGGAAAGGCTTGGAAGGATATGGGCCAGGAGCAGGCAGGTGGGACTCATTTAATCTGAGATTATGTTTGGCATGGACTGGTTGGACCGAAGGGTCTGTTTCAGTGTTGTGTGACTCTGTGACTCCATAGTTTATCTGTTATGGGTGTTGAGTTCCTTCTGTGTGGGAAGGATCTGGCAGAGAATGATTTCTCCCAGCTGCAGTGTCGGAAATTATTTGCCAATGATGAATGAGTTTTACAAGCTACCTATCCACAAATTTCTTGAGTAAAAAACAGGACATTTGGGTGCTGTGGCTATCTGTCTGTAATTGGATACCTTGAGCATTTAGACACCAGTCAATGCTAGAAGAAGTATTAATTTTGGATCATAAGGTTATTGGTGGGTATTCACTTGCCCATTGTTAATGGCATTAGGCACACTGCAGTACACAATAGAAGAGACTGTGGGAAAGATGCCATTTTTGTCTTCTAGAGCCACAGATCTTCATACAATCTTAAAATAATACTGGATATTTTTGTAGGTTTACTTCTTGGGAGGTTTGTGGCAGGGTGTGGGTGCCGAGCATTGTTACATCACTAATTGCTCAGTGTTGAAGTTATTACCAACCTAAAATATGAGTTCGCATGATGATACTATATTCATTGGTAAAGAGTGTTTTAGCATTGCTGAACAATATTTAGGAAATTGTTTAGGACTTTGAAGCAGCATGGAAGGTTTGAGTTATAAAGAAAGGCTGGATAGGCTGGGACTTTTTCACTGGAGTGTAGGAGGTTGAGAGGTGACCTATTGAAGTTTATGAAATAATGAAGAGTATAGATAAAGTTAATGGCACTTGTCTTTTCCCTAGGATGGGGGATTTCAAGACTAGGGGGCACATTTTTAAGATGAGAGAGATTTAAAAAAGATATGAGGGGCAAATTGTTAACACAGAGGGTGGTTCCCATGTGGAATGAACTTCCTGAGGAAGTGGTGGATGTGGGTACAATTGCAATGTTTAAAAGACATTTGAATAAGTACATGAATAGGAAAGGTTTGGAGGGCAATGGGCCAGGAACAGGCAGGTGGGACTAGTTTAGTTTGGGATTATGTTCGGCATGGACTGGTTGGATCGAAGGATTCTATGACTCTAAGTTACATGTGGTTTTGAGTTCAGTTACTTTGAATCTAGTGCTAGATTATTCTGGGGCATTAAATGTCAAAGATATATCAAAAGGCAGAGTGAACAGAATTGGTTACTAAACATAACAAATTATTTCACCCCCAGTTTATTTGGGCTATATCAGTCTATTTGAACACTAATGAAAACAAAACATAATAAAGTATGTGCTTGCTTGATTACATAACTTTGTATATGAATAAACAAAAACATTATGTAGTGATTCATCTTGGTTGGTGATGTACTGCTTGATCAACAGCATTTTGTGATGGCAGCAATATAATTCACTCCATGTACTTAATTAATCAACTGCAGAAATTGGCAGAGCAGAACAATTAACTAAATTAGTATTTATTTTAAGTCTTGCAAGGCACTAGTATCTTGAGTGTCATTAAACATAAAAGATTATATATTAGTGGGCAGGGAAAACCCACAAGAACATGAGGTATAGGACTAATTTTTCTGTTCTATTTCATGAAAGGGCATAAGATATTAAGGTTAGCATGATCACTGTGGTGGTTTAGTGTATTTCCTTTTACATCTTTAAGATATTTAGAGTTTGGAGCCAGGATGAAATGTTTGTTTGGAGCCAGGATGAAATGTTTGTTTGGTGCTTTTTTAATGAAAAGGATGCCATTGCTAAGAAGTGAAACATGCTCAGGCTCAACACCAAGGAATCCTAGGTTATACACAGCAATTCCAGAAGTACTTCAAAGATTTCCCCACTCTTCAACAATGTATGTTATCCCAACCTTAATATTGCCTGACGTTATCATGAATTTCCCACACCTAACATTTCTGCAACTTCAGAATGAAATTGTAAATTATTTACTCATTTGCATTGAATTTGCACCATGAAATGATGACTGAAAGTTAACAACCGAGTCTTGTCTAAATTTTATACCTGGT